CCTATAGGGCTACGAAGCGCTGTTCTGGGTGGGTGAAGCGCAGGGAACAAGGGCTGTGCTGGGTGGTGGCGGACGCAAGCGGGCAGTGCCCACTGGGACCTTTGTGGGCCCCCTATGGGCACGAAAACGTGCGAGGTGTTGTAGCCAGAATGGGGGGTGGAACCGCATGCCAGCGCAGCCACTGGGACCTTTGGTGGAGCCCCCATATGGGGCCACGAAACGCGCGAGGGGTGTGCCAGAATGGGGGGTGGAACCGCATGCCAGCGCAGCCACTGGGGCCTTCGGTGGAGCTCCCTATGGAGCCACGAAACGTGTGAGGGGTGTGCCGAAATGGGGGGTGGAACCGCATGCGAGCGCAGCCACTGCGGCGTTCGGTGGAGCTCCCTATGGGCCACGAGGCGTGTGAAGGGCGTGCCGAAAAAAGGGGTGGAACCGCATGCGAGCGCAGCCACTGGGGCCTTCGGTGGAGCTCTCTATGGGGCCACGAACCGTGTGAGGGGTGTGCCGAAATGGGGGGGGGAACCACATGCGAGCGCAGCCACTGGGGCGTTCGGTGGAGCTCACCATGGAGCCACCCACGAAGCGTGTGAGGGGTGTGCCGAAATGGGGGGTGGAACCGCATGCGGGCGCAGCCACTGGGGCCTTCGGTGGAGCTCCCTATGGGGCCACGAAACGTGTGAGGGGTGTGCCAGCATGGGGGGTGGAACCGCATGCGGGCGCAGCCACTGGGGCCTTCGGTGGAGCTCCCTATGGGGCCACGAACCGTGTGAGGGGTGTGACAGAATGGGGGGTGGAACCGCATGCGGGCGCAGCCACTGGGGCCTTCGGTGGAGCTCCCTATGGGGCCACGAAACGTGTGAGGGGTGTGCCAGACTGGGGGGTGGAACCGCATGCGGGCGCAGCCACTGGGGCCTTCGGTGGAGCTCCCTATGGGGCCACGTAACGTGTGAGGGGTGTGCCAGACTGGAGGGTGGAACCGCATGCGGGCGCAGCCACTGGGGCCTTCGGTGGAGCTCCCTATGGGGCCACGAAACGTGAGGAGGGTACGAAACGTGAGGAGGGGTGTGCCAGAATGGGGGCGGTGGACGCATGCGGGCGCAGCCACTGGGGCTCGGTGGAGCCCCCTATGGGGCCATGAAACGCGAGAGGGGTGTGCCAGAATGGAGGGTGGAACCGCATGCGGGCGCAGCACTGGGGCCTTCGGTGGAGCTCCCTATGGGGCCACGAAACGTGTGAAGGGTGTGCCAGAATGGGGGGTGGAACCGCATGCGGGCGCAGCCACTGGGGCCTTCGGTGGAGCTCCCCATGGGGCCACGAAGCGTGTGAGGGGTGTGCCAGAATGGGGGGTGGAACCGCATGCGGGCGCAGCCATTGGGGCCTTCGGTGGAGCTCCCTATGGGGCCACGAAACGTGTGAGGGGTGTCCGAGAATGGGGGGTGGAACCGCATGCGGGCGCAGCCACTGGGGCCTTCGGTGGAGCTCCCTATGGGGCCACGAAACGTGTGAGGGGTGTGCCAGAATGGGGGGTGGAACCGCATGCGGGCGCAGCCACTGGGGCCTTCGGTGGAGCTCCCTAGGGGGCCACGAAACGTGTGAGGGGTGTGCCAGAATGGGGGGTGGAACCGCATGCGGGCGCAGCCACTGGGGCCTTCGGTGGAGCTCCCTATGGGGCCACGAAACGTGTGAGGGGTGTGCCAGAATGGGCGTGGGAGGGAGAGGAGGGGGGAGGAAGGGGAGGAGGAGGAAGGAGGAGGAGGAGGAAGGAACGCGGGTCGACGTCTCTTCAAAACGAGGACCCAACACCACAGGATGGTTGGGAAATAACCCTGTCCAGAAGGACGAATGGGCAGGAACATCCTCGTTACCCCGACACTCACCACGAACCATCTTCAGATACATGATGATCAGAAGACCAGCCGGGTGAAAGGAAGATCAGCATGAAGATTGCTAAGATTGGCATCGCTCCCGTCAAAAGGAAAACCCCCAGCACCACGGAAGTCCCCAGCACGACGACAACCGGCAGGCATAATCCCACAACCACAGAGATGAAACACCCCATCACCACGATGATCGGCGGGGAGATCGGCGTCGTCCTTAGCGGGCCCTGGAAACGACACGGCTGTGTTTTGCTGCCCGCCCCGTCTTACCGTGGTGTAACCAATCGGTTCCGTCGCCGTTTGTTTGGCCTGTTCCGTCGCCTACTGTTTGTTTCCGGCCCGGCTACAATCCCAAAGAGGCGTCGTTGCCGTTCCCAGTCGCCATGTCTTACCGGTTCCACTTTCTAGAGACACTTTTATACGGAAGCGGAAAGAAAACGGCCCTGCCATTCCGAGGCCCACTAAGACATCGCCCCCGTCGGCATCAAGACCCCTGGCACCACGACGAGCAATACTCCGAGCGCAACGACGATCGGCGCGCGGAAAAAAAAAACCCGGCGTCCCAGAGATCAGCAGGAAGACCGGCAGTATCCCCAGCACCACGAAGATCAATAGGAACATCATCCCCAGCAACGCGACAATCGGCAGGATGGAGAGATCTCCAGCACCGCGGACATCAAAACAAATCCCTCACCCCCTGACGATCCCCAGCGGCATCGTGAAGATCAGCAAGACGGTCGGCAAGATGACCATCAATGTCACAACGATCACTCCGCACAGCGGTTCCTGGGAAGACATCCTTCTCGCACCCGTGAGCGCCAGAACCGTCCATGGCAACCCCATCAACCAACTCGAAGTGATGCAACACCAAGGCTGTCTGAGGTTCGGCATGTAGAACCTGCCGCTCCCATCACCGTCACCATCCATTTCCCAGGGGAGATCCACGGGCACTGCCGTCGCATGCTGCGCCCCGCGCGCAGCCTGACATCCTCAAGCGCCGAAAACACTTGGTTGCAGCGGGCGGGAGCCACATGCCTGATGATATTGAATGCCTGTGAAAGGTTCGCGATCTGCGTACGAACTTTTTGGTAGACATGGAACAGGCCCGCCCGCCGCCGAAGAGTAGGAAAACCAGCCGCAATCGTGCTCAAATGCCGTTGCTGGCGCGGCGCGAACAGCTCCAAAGCCGCGACTGAAGACGGCAGCAGAACAAGACAGAGTGCCGCCATCCCGAATGTCCACTGAAGGGTGCCCACGGGAGCGAAGCGCACCTGACGCCGCTGGGGACATGGCCGCGCGATCGGCGCAGAGGCCCAGATGGCGCCGGAGCCAAAGCGGCCACGGACGGGGGGACGAAGAGGAGGGGAAGGGATGACGAGGATTGGCAAAAGGACGACTGAAAAGAGGTACGCATCGGGAAGGAGGCAGAGAGGGAAAGAGGGAGGGGGGGAGAGATGAGGAGGGGGAGCAGGTTGGGCGCCCCAACGCAAGGGGCGGCGCCTCAGACCGCCGATAAACTGGCGCCCGCTACGCCGATCGCAAGCTATACAAAAAAAACGCAAATTTAGGAGGGATATGTAAGGAAGGACAAAGCAGAAACACGATGAGGACAAAGGAGGCTATCAATTGGACCCCCTGCTGTGCTTCATCCCTCTGTTTCACTACAAACGTATCAAGCTGTGCCGCAAAACCTTGTACAACCCAAAGGCGGGGCATAACAAAAAACCGCGAGGAGGTGTTCCTCCTGTTCCTCCTTGGTGCCCTTCGTTTATTTTTCGGGTTCATCAACCGAAACGCTTGTGTCAACTCGGACTGGGGTCGCGAATGAAAGCGCGAACCAACCGACCGGTGCACACGCTCTGGACCTCGAGCACCGTTATTCCTCCAACGCGCGGGGTTCGGGGAACTCTGAATCACATCTTTCAATTGGATATCGTATCGTGGGCTGTTGTTTGCGAGCGTCTGAGTCGCCTAGGGGGGGGGGGGGGGCGAATTGAAAGGCAGTCTTGAAAAATCAAAAGGTTGTTCGCCCTCCGCCCCTTTCCCTTCGAGCATCTTGCGAAGTGTTTTCGGGCACCATGTGCCCTTCCTGGATTCGTCGTGGGCCCTCAAGGACCTCCCAGGGCTATTCTCGGCGGCCCTGGCCATCCCAGGGGCGTTTGGGTGCGCCCGAAGATCTGCCTGAACCCGCCCGCGGGGAGAGTGAACACGGGTTGTCGTGAGAGTACTTTTTCTTCTGGCCCGCATTTGACGAGG